GGGCTCCTTGGGGTAACAGAGCTCCCCACCCCGCTGCTGCTGGGAGGACACCCATCCTCCTGCCCCCAGCAGGGTTTGCAGCTCACCTGGGTTTCTCTTCCCTTCTTCTTCCCCTCGTGCAGCAGCACCCCAGGCTGGCATCCCATCCTGCTCACAGCTCCCCAGCCTGGCTGGGCACAGGGGAAGGGGCTTTCCTGCAGCATCCAGGATTTCCTCCATTTTCTGTGGGGAAAAGGGGAGCTTCTAGAGAGCTGGAGTGGAGGAAAAATTAAATCAGATCTTCCCTTTGAACACAGGTGGTCCCACGAGTACCAGGAAGCCACCATTGACAAAATCATCCGCTTCCTCCAGGGCCGTTCCTCTCGGGACTCCTCGGCTGGGTCAGAGAACAGCCTGGACTGTTTACTCTCCCTGGGGCAGACCTAGAACCAGCACAACACCTCATCCCCCTTCAAAGACTTCCCAGCTGACCCTTTTTAATGTGGGGCCCAATTTCTCCTTCTAGATTTTTCCCTATTTTAGTACCCTGGCTTGAGACAAGGCCTGTGCCTCATCGTTCCCCTTCTCCCTCCAAATGCAAGTCCCTGGCTCCAAAAGGCCAATACTCACTGATATGGTACCTGGTGAGCCAAGCCAGGGTGGACTCTGGGATGGATCAGTTGTCTTCCACATCCTCCCTTGGGTCAGGCCATGCAGGCTACACCTCCAGGGTGCGAGGGAGAGACTGTCCAGAGCCCCATAGTTGGCTGCAGCTTCCTCCAAAGAGAAGAGTTCTTCTGAGGACTGAAAGCTGGGGAACTGGTGCAGGATCCACTGCAAGAGGACACTCGAGAGAGAGAAGAGCAGTTGAGGGAGTGGTCCACAAGCATTGTGTGGCCTCTGCTGAGTGCTGTGGGAAGATCAGAAGCTGAGAGCAGGAAAGGACAAATAAAAGCTAAGCCCTAATGAAATCCCCGTGTTTGGGAAAGATAACACACAGAGGCTTCTAACTGTGCAGAGGAACCTTTCTCTTTCCCAGTAATGTCCCTTTATCACTGGAGCTCGCTCCCTCCCCGAGTGCCTTTCACCTCCTACTGCTGCAAAACCACTTTGTGCTCTTATCTCTGGCCAGAGAAGTTTGGGGTTAGATCCTGTGAAGTTTCAGTAAGGTCTTTGCAAAAAGTGCTTCTAAAACAACTCCCTTCCCTCCATCTGACATCTCAGCTTCCCCACCTCACCAGACCTCTACTCAGAGGGCACAGGAGGCTGGATTGTGACTGGGAAACACAAACCCATGCAGATATTCAAGATGCTAATGGTACTGTACCTGGGGAGCTGTTATACTCTGGGTATAGGTTATTCTGCTGTTGCTGCTCCACAGAGGATCTCCTGTGGTCTGTTCCTTCAAACAGGAGCTGGTGCATCTCTTTGCTGATGAGCACTCACCCCTGAGAGCCCTGGCTAAGGGCCCAACCTTGTCCCTGCTCTGCCAGATGTGATACCAAGTACTATTTGTTTTATTTCTTCCCATCTCTTCTCAACACCCACCAGGTCTTTTTGCAGTTACTCACCCTTGAAATATCAGGAAAAAGGGAAGTGGATGCCAAGGGCAGGTGGAGGCTGCTCAGAGTGAGGACAGGCTGGGAGCAGGACTGGCAGCATCAGCTGCCCTGAATGCTGCACTGCCAGCCTCCTCCTGCTTCTGCCACCTGCCTGGGAGGTGAGCAGGCTCTCCACAACATCCTGTTTTGCAATTAGGACAAGAAATTGCAGCTCCTGCCTGAGCTTGTCTTTTTTGTATAATGCAAAATGACACCCTTGTTCAGAGCACACGGGGGAGAAGAGCAAGGCATGGCCAGGGAACCAGCCTGCCCTGGTGCTGTAGAGACCAGGCTGATGACCACCCTGCAGAAGAAGCAAGCACCTCTGCCTGTCCCTGCTCAAGGTAACTCCACCTTTTCAGTAGGTAATGAGGGGTCTCACCCACCTTGTCCTTCTCTTGGCTCTCCCCATAGCCTCCTTGCCTGCCTTACCTGGCAGGAACACAAACACTCTCTCTTTGGCTTTGATCTATGAACATCTGAGAAATTAAAAAGTTAAAATCCAGTGGTTAATCAGAGCTTTATGGATACTTCTTATCAGCTCACAGTTAATGGCATCTTTGCTCTCCAGTGAAAGGTTAATAGCTATATCAGCCCAGCATTCCATTCACCAAAAACAGAATCTATCTAATCTCCAGGTTAAATACAAGAAAACCAGCAGATGAGCCCAAAGGTGAATCTGCCAAAGGATAAAAGTCCCTTGTGAGCTGCTTCAGGGAAAAGTCTTGAGTAACTGAGCGAATGTCATGGCCTCTGTGGCCACTGGAGCAGTTCCACACCAACAGCCCTAAGGATTTTTCTCCCTCCAGTAACACACAGTAAGACTATTGCATCTTGTTTCCCAGGAGCTCTCTAGCAATCACCCTCCTCACCCATCCAACGTAGAGAAGACTTACTTGTCCTCTACAGGTTAAGTGTCTCGCCTGCAATGAGATCCCATCTCATGCCCCAGCTGCCCAGACTGCTACTTCTCCACTTTCCCCATCATTGTTAATTTCATGTTAAGGAACCCTGCTCTTGACAAAACACCCCATATCCAGCCCCTTCCAGTCAGAGCAGACAAGAAATGAATCCTTCTACTCCCACCCTTCCTTATTCCCTTGCTATGTCATGTCAGAAAGTGCTCAAAGTTGTTCTGTCAGTTCATTGTTAATAAATCTGGTTTATACTCTAAATCCCCACCTCTTTTCTGTGTCACATGCTTCTCTCCCTGCAGCCCTCTCATGCTTGCTCTTGCCCTCAGGCTTTCTCACCCTCCGAGGGGCAGCAGAGGTGACATTCTCCAGGCACCATTCCCTGTGGGGTCCCAGGCTTCACGCTCATCTTGCAGGGGCTGCTGCTGCTCACTGCATCCCAGGGGCTCTCTACCTGCTGCCCAGTCACCCTGCATGGATCATGTGTTTGCTTCACAGCTGTAGTTCTTGGAGGACAGCCTAGAAAAACGTTGTTTTAATTTTTTTTTAAATAGAGTTTAATAGTTCCTATTGAACTTCTCCTTTGCGAGCACCCTGACCCAAAGAGGGAGGCAGAGCCAGCACACGAGCTTCACCTCACTGCACAGCAGTGAGCAGCTGCTAGGATTGGCACCCATGGAGTCTGTTGGTAGAGGAGCCTTCCTTCACAATCAGCTCAGCCACAAGCACCTCATGCAGCTCTCACAGCTGCCCTGTTCCCCAGGGAGGCTAATTCTGGGCTTAGCCTGTCAACCCGACATGGAACACCTGCCTGTGTCCACTGGCAGAACCACTCAGGTCAACTGGTGTAACACCAAGGTCTCAAAGTCTCTCTCCTTCTCCACTCCCCACGTCTCCTGCTTTTATCACAGACTCCTCACGAGCAGGGAAGGAAGCTGCCCACAAACATTTCACATTTCCTGCATAGTGAAGAACAAGTTCCAAGGAAGCACAGCTGCCAGCCTGGCTCTGCGCTCAGGAGGAGCAACATCTGGCTGCTTCTAAGTCCCAAATCTGCACCTTTCCATACTCAGAACTCTCACAGGCTCCTTCTCCACGAAGCATCACTTCCTGCTGCTGTTTCTCTGTTGCAGTCTTCCATAAAGGAGCATGAAATGAATGGAAAGAAGCACAGAACCAGGCAAGGACAAACAGCATCGAGAGCTGCACGAGCAAAGCTGTCGTTTTATGAACCATAAAAGAGAATGGAGGTTTTATTCACCCTGAAAGTAACGTGTCTGCTAAGCAGTTTCACAGTTAGGGACATTATTGCAGGCATCTGAACTGTGTGTGCAACACAGTGTACCCAGAACTGCTGGTTTATGGCAGTTTGAAGAAAACAGAATTGCAGCAATACAGTTAATGCTTCAAAAAGAGCAATTATGATACCATGACCAAGGGGTTTGCTTGCTGACACAAGCATACTCTGAGAAGGGCAACAGAGATGGGGTCACAGACACAAAATTATGGCCCATACAACAAAAAATGTACCTCTGAGGACATCAGTCTTGTCCCCACACCAGCACATTCCAACAGCTCTGTGTATGGACGAGGCAGGACTGTTCTGACTCTGCAGAATGGCACCAGGGCACTCTTGTCACACTTCATGACCTAAGGGCCTTCAGTTAGGGAGGCCCAACTTTGTCAATTTTAGCCCTAACTTCACCAGTTTGGCAACTGTCAGTTAAGGCACCTATTTGCACCTTAGTATTGTCCCGTGAGCCTTCACTTCTCAAAAGGGCCCTTGGCATCCTGGGCTGAGCTGCAGACAGGCAGGACACACCACTGGCACTCCTCCCTACAAGCACTTCATGCATTAGGTCCTCTCCCTTGGACACCTCTAACACGCAAAGCTGAAGTTAGTTCAGTCAACAAGGAGAGGGGCTGCACCCCTGGGCAGAGCCCCCATCACCTGAGTGTCTGCAGGAGCCTGGTCTGGCTGGTGACGTTCGTGTGACTTGTACTGACAACACACTGGTTTGTAGCTCAGATCTTCCTCCTCAGGGAGACACTGTTGGGTAACTCTGCTTCAGTCTGGCTCTGCAGGCTTTGCTCAGGGCCTCACCCACACCAGCAGCTCATCTGCTCACTGCACTGCTCAGAGGGGAACACGGTTGGCAATTAACCCAGAATTCAGTCTTCTCTCACCACTGAGAGTGTCTGGCAGAACCTTCCCTTCCCATCAAACCCCAAAGCACTAACCAGCCTTACAAATGGCCAACAACAGCTTTTATTCTTGATTCATTTTTGGGTCTCCTGGGTCTTCCCTGAGAGATGAGCCAGCACACTAGCTTCACATCTGCAAATCAAGTTCCTGCTTTTAATCAGAGCCGTGATTTCCCATTCCTTGGCATTTAAAAATTAGTAAGGACCAGCAGGATGTCCCTTCCACACCAATCTGTCCTTCAAGAGAAGAATAAAGAGCAGTCTTCAGACAGACAGTGCCAAGCTGGCTGATTCCTTGTTGCTAAGTCACTTTTGAGCCATCTGCAGGGGATGGGGAAGCACCTGAGAAGTCACAGTAGTCACGCTTTGAGTCCCAGATTTCTATCCACCTAGGAAAGAAAGAACAGTTAAGAGCCTACAAAGACACACTGGGAGGCAGCTGAACGAAGTGAGCTTCACACTTTCAAAGGAACAGAACAAAATGATCCTGCCAGGAGCTGTTTCACTTCTACCACAGATCCCAACACATTCTCTCTCCCAGAACCAGCCAGGGGATTTATTTTCTATCATAACTCAACCCTTGCTTTTATTTTTAGAGAAACAACAGGAAGAGAGACTGCTAAGAGAGCTCTATCTCTTTTGTAAAGGAGGACTTTTTTAAAACTCAGCTCCTTATTTTGGATTCCACTCTGAGGTTGGAGTGAGACTTCAAAGCACTTTAAGTGTTGGCAGCTACATTACCTGGGCTGCAGGTTTATTTATTCCCTAGGATTCAGATTCAGAAGAGATGGACTCACATCTCTGCTCACTGAGGCACTAAACTCTCTCCCACAAGCACAACTGAAAATATGCCTTAAAGACTGTGAGCTCTATCCTAAGTAGAGCAAATAGTGTTTTTCACATGGCACTTCACAGGCCCCATGGCAAAGTTTAGAAATGTGAAGGAAATTACCCAATAATAGCTGCTGGAATAAGAAGAATGATGGCCCCAAAGAGAAATGGGAATCCCCTCATGAAGTGCAAGCTGGCAGAGTAGAGAGGGTTGAACACTCCTGTAGCCACCAGGGAACACACCCCTTGCACGCAGGCAACAGAGGCAAAAAGAGCACCTGGAAAAGACACAGAAGATGTTAACAGTGAGACAGCCCTGCCTGCAAATGTCTTTAACACACCCGCTTCAGCTGGATTCTGGAAGTCTTTCTGAAGGTTTGTTCTTCCCATCAGAAAACTGGTGTGCAGTACCAGGTGTGGTAGGCAAGAGCTGGGAGCAGAGATCAGGCCCACCAGGCTGGCCTGGCAGCTCAGACCTGGTCACTCAGCTTCTCTGTAGCCAGGACCATGTCACTGACCTCCAGAATTTGTATCACCTGAGCTGAGCAGGGATCTTGGGTATCAGCTGGATTGTAAATTCATTAAGACAGGGCTGTACAGCTGGGGTCACTGCCAAGCACATCTTATCACTCGTTAACCATTAAGCGCAGCACAAGCCTGCGCCTCGCAGGCCCTGAGCCCGGTCTCAGCTGTGCACCATCTTCACTCCAGTGTAAGAAACACGGACTGTGCAAAGTCACCTTTTGATCTTTGCCACCTTGATTCTCTCCTCCCCTCTGTCTCCCTGCCTGAGAGGCTCTCCTGGGCAGAGTTTAGCAGCAAGTGCTCTCCAACTGCATTCTTGGAAGAAAGGCAAACACGCTCCTGCTACGGGTTATCCATCATCCTCCCCCATGGTCAATGATACAACCCTCTAACAACACTGGGTTTCTTCCTGCTGTTACTGATCTACAGACAGGAGCCATGGTCAGGGAAATCAGGATTTTCTGCTCATTACATAATCCATTTGAACTCTTGCTGCTCCTAAAAGTTTTGGAAACAAACAGCTGGATGAATGAACCATCCCTGAGCTTGAGTGCAGCACTTCTCATCTTGCTTTTCTTCTCTTGTCCTAATCTTGAAGGCAGAGCAAGTCTAAAAGGATGCATGGCAATCATTCTGAAAAAATAAACTGTGACCCTGGGCCTGAGGGTGAATGCAAGGACACAGGAGTCCAAAGGAGCCCAGGAAGTCCTAGCCTCCCAAAGCAGTTTGGTTTCAATGTTCCAAGGAAACAGTGTTCCAGGACCTGTCTCGAGCAGAGCAGCTCCTTACCCTGTTCTGTCTCGCTGACCAGCTTGGAGAGCTTGGATCTAATGACTGGAGTGGCTGCCATGGAGAGGAAGAGAGTCCCATAACCTGTGAGCAAGATACAAAACATTAGGGAAAGCTCAGCTGAAAAATAAAGTCTCCAAAGTCGATCCCAGGAACCTGTAGCTCCCTGCTATTCTTAGACCCAGTTCACCCTCCTGCACCTCACAGTTCACTTTAGTCTATGTGTGCAGCACAACACAGCTTCTGGGAAAGCTAACGTCCTAGGAACTATATGGTTGCAGTGCTTGGCCAACTTTATTGTCACCATCCACAGATTTGTTGGCACCAGGACTGAAGCAGAGGCAGAACTTCCTCCACGTGCTCCAGCTCCCAGGAGCACACTGCCCTCCTGGCATCTCTAAGCTGCAAGACAAGAGCATTTAAGAACCCAGCATCACCTGCAAACATCACTGGCGTTGTGGTAGCAAGGGATATCACAACCAGTCCAGCAATATTGGAGACCAGTCCTATCTCTGCCACCCAGGTGTCTTCAAGGCAGAGCTGCAGCAGCCTCAGCCCCCCCAGGCTGCTCAGGTAGGCCAGGTAACTGGCGGCTGAGCCGTACCCAATGAGGTCGGGAGTCCAGCAGAGAGGGAAGCCAAGCTCGTACAAAACATAGAGGTCCTTGGCTCCGAAATGCACAGTGACCAGAAGGAAGAAGGCCAGGGAGTAGAGGACGAGGCCCCGGCGGGCGCGGAGGTGCTGGGGGGCCGCGTAGAGCCTGCACACCGCCCGGTAGTGCCGCAGGGTGAACAGCTCGGCCGCTTTCGGCTCCTTCACCGACTCCCGAAGGCAGAAAGCGGCGTAGAGGGCGGCGGCGAGGCTGGAGGCGAGGACCAGCCAGAAGGGGTTGATGTAGCCCTGTGCCCGGCGCCACGGGCCGCCCCCCGCGCTG